ACCACAATCCCCTCTGGGTCCTTTCGTTTGTTGTGGTGCGGTCTCGTCTCTGCTAACTGTAATATTGAGCTTCTTTGGCTTCTTGTTTCCAGAACGGGTCCAATAATTTATCGCATCCAAGTATTTAGCCAAATAAGAGCTCCATCCCTTAATAATATCTCTTAAATCAGCCAATGATATGTAATTTATCATGTTGTCATATACTATTGCCTTAAGGGATGGGATCTGAAGCTCGACGAGAAGCTAATGGTTACGTTCCAAAACAGGGATAAACACCTGCAATCATAAGTAATAATTCATTCATTTGCGCACTTATTTATGAATACCTTTAAACTCAATCTAAAATAAACACTAACCTTATCGACCTCCCACCATGCAGGATAAAGTTTAGCTTGTCCATTGCCCAACGCAAATGATTCATCTCGTTGATTCTTCAAGTGAACTGCGTTAAAAGCCGTCGGCATTATTGTATACCGTGTATTTCTTTTATTTTCCTTAAGTTTCCTAATTATTAGTAGACGTGACACCCACGCATCGATATGCTGTTTTACAAAAAAATACATATATTAGTGAATTACATTAATTTTTAAACAAATTAATCAAATGAAAATATAAGAAAAATATAAGACTTACCCCTCCATCGAAATAGCCATTGTCTTCGACCCCTAATAATACGCCCCACCAAGACCGATCAAGCAACAAATAGATATCATCATTGAGCTTGCATATGTCAGTGAAACACCCATGGCTTCGCTCATGTAGATAAAAATCAACTGCGGTCTTAGCCCAAAGGGTGTTATCCAGAATTGTGTCCGGTAGTTGTTTCCTCTCCTCTTCAGATACCGGTATGGTACTGGCCGGTAACTCATACGAGAGCCAACTTGAATCCATCATGTCCGGCACGTCAGAGGGTTTCTCAAGAATCCTACATATGACGCCATGTGAATCGGGCTCTTGAATGGTGGGATGGACCTTTTCAACGATGACAGTGGCCTCTTGAACGGTGGGAGGGGACTCTCGAGGAATGATAGGGGCCTCTTCAACGATAGGAGTGGAATCTTGAGGGATGATAGGCGAGTCGGGCTTCTTCTTACGGTGTCTTCGCACTATTGGGGTATACGGAGACTTAATAGCACGTGCACGCCGTCTGATGCGTGAACTCTGTCGTGCAAGAAAAAACCCGACGTAAAGCATCCACCTTATCGGTCCGCTAAATAAAAATACAAATATCAGTAAATAAACAGGCATGATATTTAAACAGTGAAAACAAAGATAAATATATTTCAAACTTTCAACCAAAAGACAAAACAAAGACAAATACTAACTTCACAGTGTTAAAGTAAAAAGTTTAGCAGTTTTGGCAGCAACCGAATAAATTTACTAAGCAATCTAAGTGAAATGGTTAATTTAAGTGAAATTACGAGTAAATTTATCATCAAGTTAAATATGGAAAATCTTAAACTTACCTCGTTGCGTAGAGTATGAACCTCATTCTGCAACGATACTACCATCTCACGTAGAGCGGCAACCTCACCACGTAAAGTAGACACCTCCACACGCCATGCACCATCGTTATCGCGTAGAGTACCGATCTCCTCACGCAAGGCATTGACCTCATCACGTAACTCCCTTGACTCATCCCGTGGAGGTGGAGAACAGGGAGATAGAAGTCGTGGCATCTTTGTCGGTCGCCTATCATGAGGTGATGGTGGAGAAGAGACTCGATGATGTGACGGGATAGGTGATGGCTCTCGTTGTAGAGGTGTACAGTCGGGTCGATCAGGTGATGGCTCTGGGCGAGGTGATGGCTCTCGAAGTGGAGGAAGTGGAGGCTGCTCATCATTCGTGCCATCAAAAAAACGCTGACTAGCTTGCCACCAATCAGTGGCAAGCTCAGCCTCCGTGGGTGTCAGTCTCATTAATGGAGTGTTGGCCTCCTAAAAATATAAAAACTAAAACAAAGTTAAACGTCTACTATTAATAACTTGTTTATATATGATAGTATTTGTGTTAACTTACATTATTTATTGTCGCATATGGTATTAAGTCTTCCCAATCCAACATACGTTTCCTCTTCCAGGAAATAGCCCTAGGAATATCATCTGAGGATTTTAATGCATATGTCCGCATGCTGGGGAAAGCCTCGAATATCCAAATCTACAAACAATATAATAACAAACATTAGTAATTGTTAATAATTAATTATAATTTTGAAAACATTATATATAGAATTCTTACCTTAAAGGCCCAAACAAAGCCTGACAAAGTGTATTTCGACCCATCGCCCCGCAAACTTTTGCGGTCATCAAAGGCAGACGACAACTTAGTCCAGGTAGCTTTCCATATATACGAACCCCACGGAAACAGATTCCATGCATTTAGGTCCTCTACCAATAATATTAGCTCCTGAGGAATAGGTTGTCTGGCCTCTCTGCCTAGAAAGCCGGCATACAAAAGTAGTAGAAGGCATACTCGGACAACATCGACGTCATTCATCCGAGTAAAACCATCTTTCTTATTAAACAATTTCTTCATGTCGTCGACGTGTAAGTTCGGCTTCTCTATTGACTCATCAGGAAAAACCCTGGATAACCATGATGGGCGGGTGATATGACGAGTGTACCGGCCTACATCATCGTGTCCGAATCGTAGACCAGTGATTAAGCAGAACTCCTTCCGCCCAAAACAAGTATACGCCGGTGGAAAATGAAACCATATCTCTTCCTCACCACGTTGTATACTGTCGGGTAGATCGCTAGTCATGGTCTGAAGCCACAAATGGGTCAAACTAGCATCTCCACCCGGATGCTGTACTCTCAGCCATGGCCCGAAGCAGGTTTCTTCAAACAATTTTCTTTGTGCAGGTGAAAGCTTCGAAGCAATTGTAGTGGCTAGGCTAACTTTATTCCTTAATGTCAATGAAGCCGAAAAAAGTTTCTACAAAAAAACAATAAACATACCAAGTTAGATATACCAAAAATTACACTGTCAAGATATACCAAAAACAAAACAATAAACATAAATAGTAGTTTATTCTTGAAACTAAAATTTGCAACACTGTTTTTGTCTTTTGGTTGAAATGAAAATCGCAACGAGATAATGAGAATCGCAACGCGGAAATGACTATCGCAACGAGAGAATCGCAACGCGAAATGACTATCGCGACCAGACAATCGCAACGCGAAATGAAAATCGCAACCGCGAAATGAAAATCGCAACGCGATTTTGGTTTCGCGTTGCGATTTTTATTTCGCGTTACGATTATCTCGTTGCGATAGTTATTTCCGCGTTGCGATTTTCATTCTCGAAACTATTCTTCTTCTGCATTACTTCAACCAAAAGACAAAGCAAAGACAAATACTAACTTCACAGGCTAAACAGTTTAGCAGTATTGGCAGCAATCGAATGAATTTAATAAGAAATCTAAGTGAAATGGTTAATCTATTATTGAAATTACCAGTAAACTTATCATCAATCTCAATATGAAAAACCTAAAATAATGCAAAAATTTCAAAATAAAAATAAAAAAAACTAACCCTCGGAGGTTGATTTTCCATTTCTGAATGATTGTGAGGGATTTTTGACTGTGAATGGTTGTGAGGGATTTCGCCGGCGATGGGGACGGAAATCTTCGGAGATGGGGACGGATTTCGCCGTAGAGAGTGAGAGATGGAGATGGGACTGAGTGTTGTGTTTTTGGGTTTGAGGTTATGAGTTGCGATTACTGTGGACGGTTCATTTTCCGATTTATTAAGAAAAAATACGTGTTTGGAATTTGAAAAAAAAAATACGCGTTAATACGAATGGCGCTATCTAAATCGCGTTGCGAAAGTCAGTATCGCGTTGCGAAAGTAAGTATCTCGTTGAGATTTTTTATTATCGCATTGCGATAGTCAGTATCGCATTGCGATTTTCTCAATTCGCGTTGCGATTTACTTATTCGCATTGCGAATTTCCCAATTCGCGTTGCGATTTACTTATTCGCATTGCGAATTGGGAAAATCGCAACGATACTGTAGACCATCGCAACGCGATTTTCAACTATCGCATTGCGAAAATGCAACGCGAATTTGCGATAATGGAGATCGCGTTGCGAATTAGCGATCGCATTGCGATTTTGTTGGTCATTTTGACAAATCCGGAAAAAATTAGTTAAAATCGTATATTATATGGGATTTTTGGTCACTGAGGTTATTTTCTCTTTTCGTTTTGCCGTTTTATTTGCCTTGTTTGCTTTACACGTTTTGGAATCGTTTGTTTTTTTTAGGGTGTTTCACAGCTGGATAGCACCTAGTTTTAATAATAGCTGATTCCTTTTTATATTAAAAAAATATTCGTTAATAGATCCACACATGATTTTGAAACACCCTTAATTTATATTACAGTAACTAAAATAGTTTATTTTTACATGTTTGTCATTTAAAACATATTAGATTATACATGAATATTAATTTAACATGTAATTTGATATATGAACATCGTTTTGGTGTAATTATATAATCGTGGGTTAAATGTACACTCAAAATTTTAATTTTAATTCAATTATAAATATAAATATATAAATTTGTTTTTATGTTTTATAAATATAATTATTTGTGTATGAAATATGTAAATGCTAAATGGTGAAACATCAATAATTGTATTAGTAATTTATAAATTCAAATTAAATTAAAATTACATAAGATCAACTAAAGAATTCAACTAAAAAAATCATGAATTTGGACTATTGAATAAAGGATTAAATTATATCAAATTAAAATAAACACATATATATATATAAAGAAAATTCATAATTTAATAGTTATGATAAAAAAATAAAATCATGAGTAAACAAATATATGTCAAGCATTTTATTTTAAAATTTATCTGAATAACATTACAGAATTAAAAAAATCACTATAATCATTGAGAATGCATGCGAAACACAAATGTCTTAAAAATTTATACAATATAATATCAAAATTTATGATACTACAAACTACCTATCATCGGAACATACAAAGAACACAATATGTTGCTGAATCCATTCACACTGGAAATCAAATATCAATAATGCTGGAACTAAACTCTCTTCCATCAATGAATTCTTGACTTGCATGAAATTTCCATGTTCATCAGAAAATGGAGATTTGAATAAACACAGTTTCTTTTCTTCTAAGATTTCTTCGAGTGTCTCCGAAAACCGAGAGCCAAAACTGTGAAACCAGCAATGGCTGCTGCTAAAATCTGCCAATATAATATGTTTGTTTGATCCCGTGCATCACAAGAAACAATGAAAATCAACAAGAATCCGAATTTTTCGTTCATTCATATATTCACCTTTAAAAGGTGCATTAGATGGATTTGGAAGTTCGAACCCGATACTGAAAATTCAAAGCAAAAATGGTAAGATCACTAACCTTCATATCTATCCCTTGACGGGTCCATTGTGAAAATGATTTTATCCTCTTGAACCAAGATGTTTGGGGCATTAGAATCACAACAGTGTGCTGATTTCTGCGCGGCATTATCCTCTGCAACGCCAACTGCATTGTTAATGGCGTCAGAGATTTTCTTACTTTTGAACGCCCTTCATCTAGAATCTGCACCCCACAAATGATCAGAGTAAGTAAATCATTAGCAGTTTTACTCAATAAGATAACTTGTAATAGAACATATTTTCTGGCAACTCTGTGCAGATTAACTTCCACATTTAACTCGGTTCATATTTTCTCAATATATGCAACCTTTCCCCTTATTCTTCCACTAACCTTGAAAGAAGTTCCGATATCACCAGAATAAATCCGTGATTGATAACTGCCGAGAATCTGATTTAGCCAGTAATAGTTTTCCTGCAAAGTGTAAGACTAAGTTAGTAATTAGTTCATATGACAAGCCGACTGCATAAATTAAACTGTCTTAACATCTTAAATCTTAATCATTATGGTATATTTAATTTTTTTCATATTTTTTTTTTCATAAACTCAGGTTCTTTAAAAGATCATATCCCTATGTTCAAATGGACGAAGAGTTAGAGTAACACTGAGATGAAGATAAGTAGATAACTTGTTTTACTGGTAAGATAAAAGATGGAGGTTTAAGATTCTTTGCTTAAATGGTTTTTAAATGAAATAAACACTGAATGCATAAAGTAGAAGAAGTTTAACCTGCAATCCATTTTCATGGGCTCTCTGTTCAATTTCGAGTATGGTTTCAACATCTTGATCTGAGGGCCCTTCCTCTTGAAGACGTAGTATTTCATTCAAAGCAAGATCAACCTGTTAAGAAATATTGCACGGTTAAATGTGAGTGTCACATATGAGTCTGTATAAGTATACTAAACTCTTTTAAGCTTTCCTATGCAATTAGAGGGTCTTTAGAAAATCATTTCCCCATACCCTGAAAAATTTTCCTGGTGGGAATTGGATATGGATTCTTTACCAAAAATGAATAGTCGTGATCGATAAAGGTGAAAATACTTACCAGTTTCGATGAGATTTTTGGATCGCAGGAAAATTCAATTCGAATGTTACCGCAAATATCTCCAGTTAGACATGGTAGATCACCATCAATGAATTCTGAAACACTTGCAGAGTAGATCTGGGAACACAGAACAAAATTGTTCAAACAAAATTGGCTGAAGAGTAAGACAAATGATACCAATGTATTTAAAGGATCCATAGAGTTCATATTCTGATACCAATGTTTTGGACATGGATGTTAGACACGGATATTTAAAAAAAAATAAAAGTTGAAGCAGCATAGATACACGGTACACCATACCTGGCCATGTTTGAATCGGAGAAGCTGAAGTAGTTTTGTTTCTAGTAGTTTGGTTAGGAACCCTGTATAATGAATCTCTTCTTCCTATAATTTCATTGTTCCAACAGAAAGATATTGTAAAAGTCAATAATAGAATCAGGTTTCCATTGATGGACTTCTAATAATAGATAAATTGGAAGAATAACAAACCATGGCTACATTCTTCAGCTCTATAGGAAAGCATATCTGGACCATACATTGAGCTTCGATCATGGGACTGCATACGATTTCTCTACAAGCGCATCACATATCAGAAGAACACAATGTGAGCTCCATGAAACTATTATCATCGGACATGCATCTCTTATGTTACTTGGACTCAGGTGTGAATATCGAATATGAGTACATATTCGACACACATGCATGTTTTTCTTGTGTTTTTCTATGAATTTGGAGGTTCCTTGGAATGGAAGTTATATCTCCATACCAATGTCCGAGTACATGTCAAACATGATACTTAAACTAAAATGAAGAGTCAAAAGTTGAAACCGCAGTGAACTTACCTAGTCATGGATTTAGGATATTTAAATGGAAGGCCCTTGATGTAGTCAGAGTTATAATGGAGAATAGGTTGAGGAGGCTTTTCTATTCCACCCTGCATGCAAAAATCAAGAACTCATAACATAATTACAAAGCATGAATTCCTAGAATGGGGAGGTAGAAAAAAAAAGGATCTTCAACTTACCAAATACTTCAGTATCAAAGGAACTGCAACTGTGGGATCGGTTTTCCCAACGATTACGACAGTAAAAGTCGACGGGTCCTTAAAGCAAGTATTGAAATATTCACATGCTTTTAATAGATTGACTTTCTGAAGATCATTTATTTCAAAAGGCTGCAAATCAAAAGTAAATCTTAGGTTACAAGTATACTACAAGAAGAATTTTTGCAAGTATCTCGATGTATTTGAACATCATTGGAAGGTTATGTTTTTATATCGATGTCGATACTTCGAGAAAAATAAAGAGTCAGAGACTCGGAGTAACATGGATACTAATCATTAATACCCGGAAAAAATAAGAGTTCCCATAGTTGATCTCCCTTGCTCGCTTAGAAAATGAAGTGTAGGGATCCCTTTCTCGGGCAAGAATTGCTTCCTCTTTCACTTGCATCACTCTTTTCATGACTTCATCATCTGGTGTTACTTTTGTTGTAAAAAGTTGGTAAACAAGCTGCCAAAAGGAATAATCAGAAACTAGTGAGTGATTTGTTTTAGAATTTAGTTGTTGATGTATAAGATAACAAAAATGAAGAATCGGAGTACCATAGGTAATCATTGATTGAATAATATTTTAGAATAAAAGGAAATAAAAAAAAAAAGCAACAGGTTCACTGTTAACAGAGTCTAATAAAGCAAACCTGAAAGGCAATTTCCAAGTACAAGGGTGAACAACCACCATAAAATGTTCTCTTGTAAGATCTGATCCCTATATCCACATCAACTCTCTTACCGGCCAGCATATCCATTAGCACCGATGGTCTATGACCGAACATGCCAATTTCCTCTGCAATTGTTGATCCCATTGAAGATGAGAAATACTTGCTTTCTGGGAGTTCAGATAAACCACCATAGGAGAAACCGGTGAAAAGAACCTATTGAAACAACAATGTAAGATTTATATGCTTCACATGAACTAGTAATCAAATTAAGGCAGTCATGACTTAAATTCCAAGAAATTAAAGTTAAATGGCTTTCAGAAAGTACCGAGGTTTTTAAAGTTTTTCCATGAATTTGAAAGGTTTTTGGAGGGTTAAAATTTTACATTCAACGTGTTAGATACAAATATTTCAAGGAAAATGAAGAGTCGGAGCAATATTGTGTGTTTCTAACTACTGATACTGCCAGGCACATAGAAACCCAGAAAGCATGTATACCTGGTCATTAAAGAAATCTGTACACTTATAGCAAACACGCATGCCATTTGATAGAGTCAATTCAGTAGCTCCAATATTTACATGCTCTCGCTGCTCAACAATGTTCCTGAAGAAAATAATAAAATTCAGATTATAAACCTAACCTTAAATTTTGAAGAAGTTATCTATTAATGCCGAAAATGGGATATGCAAACATGTATAATTAAAGAATTTTAGAGATAACAAAAAAGGCTCGTTTAGAAAGGCACTGGTAACTTATTGAGCTAAATTTGGTTAAAAGTATCATCCCATATTCCCATTAATTAATTTTGATTGTTGATTATTCAAAAATAATAATAATTTTTATTGTTCTACAATACTTCATAAAGTTTAAAACAGGGCCATAATCAGACAGTAGACTGGCTATAGATAGAAGCACCTGGTGAAACTTAGAAGCTAAGTTACTCATTTAGAAGCTAAAGCTAGAATATGTCAAGTTTACCCTGTATTTGGCTTTGAGTTGATTATTTCTTCCGGAACATGTTCATCATCCCAAGGAGAAATGCTCCTTGTATTCTCAAGCTTGTTGATCTTCATGACAATATTTTTCATGTCATCGATGACGGAAAAAGCTTGGGGTTCAACTATCTGTATGACACAGCTACATGATGTCCATAATTTCTCAGCAAACTTGGATACCTCTGATGCTAATATATCTATGTAAGATAAAATCATGAATTGAACAAGATATTATATGAGATTTCAATTATTTTCTTATTTTGAAGCTCCTTAAAGCAGCAAAATTTAAGAATGTTGGTACATTTCACTGACCAGGGAGAATAAACTTGTGGAGCTGAGCTTCATATTCTATCCCAATAATGGGTTTATTATCAGTGAAGTGCTACAAAACAAAAAAACACGATGACATGATACATTTTCCATAGGCTGGTGCTTTAGGTTTGGATTGAATAAAATAAAAACAGGACCAGAGGTTAATCTGGTCGGACTGTCGGTGACCGTTTATCACACACCTGTGTATAATCATATCGCAAGCTGCTTGATTCCATTTGATCACGTTCCAGATATGCAGATTCAATATTCGACATCAGTAGAGCTCGAGCGACAGATATTTCACGTTCTGAGAATCCATGAAGTCGTACTCTTGCAATCTGCCATACGATGCATGAGAAAAAGATTAAGAGAAATTTAAGTACACAAAAAACAAAGGACAAAGCAAATCAGAATGTTGAAGGAAAAAAATGGCAGACCTCCATAAGCATGGATTCAAGGGCTTCTAAAGTCCCCTTTTCTTTACAAGATGAAGTCATTATATAAGCCTTTAAATCGCGAACAAGAACATATGAAGCAATCGAACATGATAAATAGGGCGCATCCTTTCTTCGGGAAATCCGAAACAACCTTCGATTCAGAGCAATACGGAACATGGATTTCACCAGCATTTCCCTATAGTATTTCACTGTCTTCATTCCATCTGCTTGCATTTTATAGCTAATCACCACTGCGGACTTTTTGCAAACAAACATTCACATCAAAGAATGTATATTTCAACATGCATAAGCACGAAAAAGTTGAAAGAACTAAAGAGATTACTAACCCCGGAAGCTTCAGGTTCAACAAAATATGAAAAGCGAGGATCCTCGTGGAAAGGAACTTTAAACTGGGGTATCGGTGGAGGGTCAAATGCTGAATATTTATGCCCAAAGTTAGTCTTTATCAATTCAATGACACTCTGGATAGAAAGCAAAAAAGATTGGTTAATTTACCATAACTGCTCATTCCAGTTGGAGAAGTTTGTAAATTAGCAGAGACCAACCTTTGTATCAGAGAAATCTCCAACAGCAATCACTGCCATATTGGATAGATGGTACCATTTTTTATAGAATTGCTTCAAAGTTTGAGGAGAAACAGTTTTTATTACATTTTCCAGTCCAATCGGTAATCGATCAGCATACTGCAGTTAACCAGGTTTGAGAAGCCATGAGCCAAATGAACAATGTTCATGATTGATTACTTGCTTAAAATCATTAAAGACTTGCATGATGCATGGAACAACAGTGTCCACTGTCCAACATATATTTGGACATGATGAGGATATGATCCCTTATGTAAAAAATCTTCAAAAAAAAAATTAGTATATCCATGTCGGATGCATATTCATATATAACACTCATGTACCGTACATATCTAAATATGGATTCGAGAGTATGACCCTAAATACTTAGGATTTGAAAACATTCTTATTGAAAAATATACTCTTATCCGACACTTACATTTGAATCTTATTACTATAGACCCTTCCATTTTGACATATTTAATTGGTGCAATATTAAATGGAAATAATGATTAGAAGATGTTTAGTGTTGAAATTCTTTCAAATATGTTTCGTGCAACTATATTTGCATTGCAAAAGCACCAAATTTGTAAATGTACTGATAAATGGTTTAATAGAAATGAATGAAGGTTCATAAAAGATTAGATTCAGTAAATTTACCTTGGAGCCTTCCATCATCAATGTCCAATACGCATCAAGAATCCTTCCACTAGCATTTCGATCATCTCTATACTCTTCCATAACTGCTCCTCTCTCTTTCTCCAAATCATCTTTCGAGAGCCGAATCTACATATCACAACTCACAAATGCTTTAAACTAAAAGAAGAAAATACAGAACGTGATTTTATGTTTATTCTTTTTCACGGTTTTTTATGGAAGTATTTGTATCATATATATATATATATATATATATATTCAAATATGGGTATATTTCTTTTGGGGGGGGGGGTGAAGAGCATATGAATTCGGTGATACCTCTGAACTAAACTCAGCCAGGACTTGAATAGCTTCAGATAAAAGCTCAGGCTTGTCAATGGGGATCAACAATTTGTACACAGTCTCATCAAAGGATGTGGATGCGTTCTGACAAGGTCCGAATTCGGCTCCAATACTTTCGAGGAATTTAACAATGCTGTGGTTCGTGTATTTCTTTGTGGCAGAGAAGGCAAGATGCTCAACTATGTGAGCAACTCCGCGCTCATCTTCCTCTTCCAAAATCGAGCTGCCATGAATCATTCAAGAACCCCAGATTTATCCCAAAATATTCATAAAACTGGAATGGAATGAAAGAGGGAACTTGACTAACCCGACTTTGACAGCAAGAGCAAGAGAAGCTCGTTTCTTCGGCTTAGGATTACACTTGACATAGTAAACGAGGCCGTTTTCAAGCCTGCCGTAATCCACACCAAAAGGTAGAACATCAAACTCCTTATCCAACTCCATGTTCATTTCCGGAGGCCCAGGGCTGAGCTGAGAGCGGTGGGTATGGGGTGAAAGCAAAGGCATATTTGGGGTTAACAAGTGGGAGAAATGGAACAGTCATGGTTTAGGATGTATATGGGATGGGAGCTGTTTGTTTTGATGGAAAAGTCTTTTGTCAAATAAAATAAAAAAAGTGAGCTCGGAATGGGAAGAAATCTGGTTCAAGTCAATAGGCAAACCATTATTTTTCCTTTTCTGTTACTTCGTAGCATTTGCGTGGAATCCGCGTGAAAATGCATCCATCCATCCATGGCCCCACCATTGAATGATTAACCCCTTTTTCCCCTGCCTCGAAATTTCTGCCCCCTCATTTCTCAATCATTCCACAATGTCTGGTGACACTCAATAATAGTTTTTCTTTTTCACAAATAATTTTCACTTACGACGCTTGCTCCTATTACGTATTAAATCTATAATACATGGGAGAAGAAAGATATCAATTGGGAGCTTTTATTTATTTATTCTAAAGATTCTTGATAATAGTAATTTAGTAAAAAAATATCTCAAGCCTTTATACTTTTAAAAAAATTATTGTAATTTTCATATTATTTTCTCTCTCAAAATTACCCTCTATCTCACAAAACAAATTTAATATTACCCTTTGACCAACATTGTTCGTCATTCACTGTTACATTATTGATGTGACAATTCACTGTGATTGATGACATGACAGACGAGTGACGATGGGCTAAATTGATTTTTTTTTATTTTATTCGTGGATTAAATTGGTTTTTTAAGTTCAAGGAATTATATAATTTTTTTTTAAAATAAAAAATTATTTTAAATTTTAAATATAAAATTATTCAAATACTAAAAAAATAAATATAAAAAATAGTAAAAATATAAATTAAATTATTAAAAAAATTAATATTCGCATTAAAAAGATTAAAACTATTATAATTTTTTTTAAAAAATTAATATATATCATAGGTTATAAAGTGATAACTTATAAATGATCAAAAAAAATTAAAAATGATTTTAGAAAGATATATTATACATAACATATATATATATACATATTAATATTATATATGTTTTCAAAAACTGTTTTAAAAACTATATATTATATGTTTTCAAAAATACGTTTTCAAAAACTATATTATATACGTTTTCAAAAACCGTTTTAAAAACTATATATCATATGTTTTCAAAAAATATATTATATATGTTTTCAAAAACTATATTATATATGTTTTCAAAAATCGTTTTTCAAAACTATATATTATGTTTTCAAAAACTATATTGTATCTTCAACAACTATATATATTATATATTTTTGAAACTATTATCTATATTATATAGTGTAAAAAGATTTGGACGAAAATTGGTGCCTACAAATAGTATTTTCAAATATTTTTAGATTATTCGGATAGGAATAAGCTATGTTTTCCTGTGGCTTAGCTTTGTTTTTGGAGTTGATGGGAAAGTTTAACTAACAATTATATAAAATACTAATATGAAAAAATAAAATACATTGCCTATTAAATAGGAGAATTCGATTACATCTGACTTGGGGGAAATTTATAGGAAAGTTGCATTTTCTTTTTGTTGAACTTGTTAGTTGCATATGTTAGAAAAGTAAAGAAATCCGACAATTTGGAATTCAACTCTATTAAAATGGACGGCTGAGTACTGTCTTTATGTTTTGGTTTTCTGTGGAGATGACGAGAAAGCTTAACCGACTGCTACACTAAATATTAAAATATTTTATGACCAAATTTTGGGAGGCATCAGATATTTTGTGATGAACTCCGGATGTTATTCCACGCCTTGATTTAATTTTTATTATACAATGCATTTTGTTCAGTTTACTTTATTTTATATTTTAATATTTTATTTTTTAAAAAATAATTTTTGTATTTATATAAACATGTTTAATAAAAACTATTTTAAAAATAAAAAAAACGTCATATCTATTGATACAAAAACAAATCACACATCACATAATTATTGATATAAGAGGAAGATGAATGATTCATCCCGTGTAATACAAGGTGAAAATTTATTAAAAAAATATGATCGAGATTATAAAGAATAAGAACGAAAAAAAATGAACATCGATGACAGACCTAAGTGATTCGTCATTATGAAATTTAAGATCTAATTACCATATTAGCTTAACATATTGACTTACAAATAATCGCCATAACCCTACATCTAACATACTTGCTAAAGGTTGATCATGATCAAAAGCAATTGACACCTTTTGCAACAATCATTCTTCTTCTTATTTTTCTTTTTCTTTTTTATGATGATCTATTTTTAACTTTCAATTCACTGATCACAACTCTTCGTCTAAAATAAAAAGAATAATTGTGAAGGAGAGATCAAAAACCATAATTCTTATCAATAAGATAAAATAAATAAACAATTCATGAAATAAAAATATATGATATGATATGACAATATAAGTCTAGATAAAATGAATTGTAACGGATTCTAAATAATTTCAAATGGACCTTAATAATTAAGATATAATATGATAAATAATAAGTGATCTTGGTTAAGAGTCCCTCCAAGGTTCATGTGAGGTACAATAGTATCTATCAAAAAGGTTCAGTTCCTTCCACTTAACTTTCTTTTTCTCAACTTTTATGATACCTCGTTTTGCTTTTTAAGTAGTAATAATCATCAACTTGCTTCAATTGACGAAGTAAATAGCCTTTTGTTTTTTTTAACGAATCCCTAATTTTTCCTTTAAAGTAAAATTTTTATTTTTTGAAAGTATTATTTTAGGTGATGATTTAGCGGTATCATCGCTCATTTTTCTATTCAATCCTCTTCTAAATTATACCTAAATAAATATATTGTCTATTTTTATTTTTATTTTTACATATCCTTAAAGCGTTAATTTGTCTGTATTTCTGATACGATTTGTCTATTATTATAATATTTTGTTTACATTTTGTGTTTTATTTATTACGTTACACCTTATGATTAAGAAAGTTTGACGATCTCATAAAGTTAGATCCTTTTTTATAGTTTATTGATATATTTGAAACCAAAGCAATTAGATTGATTCTCTTAATCTTAATGCCTAAATTAATATTGTGTCTAGGTTCGAATAGAGACAATGACATTATTGATAGTTACTGAAGTTTTTTTTGAAAGATGAAACATATATTCAAGGAAAAATTTTAATTTACTTTTTCCCTTTAAATTTTCATGTTGTACATTATATTTTTAATTAATAAAACCTATTTTTTTTTTTAAACAATCTTTTGTTTTAATATATATGTTAAAAAAAGATTTTATTTTCGATTTTATTTTCTGTTTGTAATATAATTTGTTCAATTAGCGGCTTGCGTGTTCCTCGTATCGACTCTGGTTTCGGCTGCATTAATACTCCTATGGGCTATGAACAGCATTAAGCCTTGTAAGGCCACTACCACCTTCTTCAAATCCAGTGGGTAGTAATTATCTGCATCCTATGGTTTGAAATTTAAAAGTTTAAAGATATTTACATATAAATAATTTAAGATTTCAAAGGTATGTTTTAAGCTTGATCAAAGTTATAGGATAATCAAAAATAATCTTGGATACTAAGATCTCGAGTATATCAAAAGACAATAATTGATAGAGTTTAAAACTTAGGTCTAATTAAGTTCAGCATTCGTGTTTAACAGCTCAAAATCAGGTACTTTGTTTTATCCATGTGATTCTTAAATCTCAATTTTTTTTTAAATACTACATTTTAGAGTGGGCAAGTAATTTTAAGATCGGAAGATTACTTTGATTTGGTCACTTGAATGAGCCAACCGTGTAAGAGTTTGAAGGGGAATGGACATTTCTTGTGTGAAACTGTATGAAAGTTATTTAATGACTTGGATGTTGTAAGATGGTGCATACTGTTGGATGATCATATACTGCTTGTTTGTAAGTCTTCTTTTTGGAAGGATACATGAAGAATTTTGATTCTTCTTGCTTCTAACCTGCTTTTCTTGTTGGCAATGCTTGCAAGATAGTTTGGAACAAGATCAACAAACGCGCCTGCAGATGGTGATCCCATCACCAATGGAACAAGAGAGATTTCGACGCGTTGATCCGTCGAAATCGATTTGTTAAACTCGATAATCGACCTCCATGATTCCTTTCTCTTTCTCGGAACATCCTCTTCGGGTTGAACCACGGTGCCTCCCCAAAGCGTGTCGTCGAAGACGATGAGTCCTCCAACTTTGACCAGCTTCAAAAGCCTCTCACGGTAATTCAGGTATTATCCTTATCCGCATCAACAAATGCAAAATCAAAACTCCCTTCATTCTCTTTCTGCTGAAATCAAAACCCCAGAATAAGGAATATGAGTTTGATTTGATTGAAAGTTGAAGAAATTGCTAAACAAAGTTGGGATTGAGAAGAAGGGTATTTAATGCTTAAATTTTGTAGAAGCTTGTCCAGAACCGGTAAAGCTTTGGATTCAATGAAGTTGATTTTGCGTTCCATTCCAGCTTTTTGGAAAATAGGCAGACCTATCTCATAGGCTTCCCTGTCTGGATCTATGCCTCTAATCTGCAAATAGTTTCTATTATTAAGTAGATCATTCATAGTTTTATATTTTGGGCATAGTGAATCCATCAAGCCACCTCAATAAAAAAAGAGAGTTGTTTTTTTTCAAAGTCTCGAATTTAAATTGCTGTGTTTGCAGGGGTGCGTGAGCTGTGAGGTGCTAATAGCTAGAAAAGTTTCTGAACAAATTATGATTGGATCGTTAAATCGAGGTGTTAGGAAAGATGCAAATTACCATGGCATCACGAGGGATTGAAAGAGCAGTGAGGAGATGAGAGTAGCCAGTATAAACACCAATTTCAATGGTCTTCTTTGTATTCACTAGCTTGGGGAGCATCCCCATTAATTGAGCTGTATCTGGTGCAGTACTCATGAAATACCTGCTCCATACAATCACCATCTATAGCTCATAGGCATGTTTTTGGACCGAGTCGAATTCAAAGAATTTTTTCGTATCAAGATACAAATAAATAAACGGATAGACAGATTTACATTGAATGATTTGCAATAACATCCCGAATCTCCTTTAGAGGCGATGGTTCCCTAGGGTAGACTTTCTCCAAATATACTAATTCAAAATTAGAACAATCTGATTAAAATCAGTTGGTTGAATCGATTATATGAAAGATTGATAATTTGTAAATGAAAAAAAAAAATACTTTGTATAACTCAATGCTCTTCACCAACACCATCATGAAAAATGATTTGTTTGTTGTAAATTCCCAATTCTGCGATGGCATGCTTGATAAACGAGAATAAATAATATAAAGTTCACACCAAATTCATGCATACCTTGTAATGATCCGTGTGTAACATTGTTTTCATGTTTTAAATACGTATATGATGTATTTTATACTGTTTTTATTAATATATTTTCACAAGGAAGGATTTAGCTTAGAGATGAAAGTTTCCTTCTTTTGTCGGTCATTAAACTGTGTATGTAAATTCCAAGATCAACGGTCAAGATTTAAAGAAAAATTTCACCGACTATAGATAAAATAATTTATGCTTGGCAGAAAATACATGAGATTCACAACATTCAGACAGCATCCTCATAAAACAATACATAATCCAACAGAAAATGAATAGATAAATCATGTTATTATTAAGTTAATCCTATGGTTCCGGCACCCACAGAACAGGGAAATGACTACTCTTGGCCGATCAATGCTCGGACCAACCAGCCTCGACCGATCAGTGATCAGTGCTGCCAACACCTTCCATTTCCCTTAACTGTTACTTGGCAGATGGAACCATTGTGGGTGGGTGCTCCACAAATAGATGTATCTGAATCAACATAGTGACGAATAGAATTGCTGCTGCCGCTGCCACTATAATTTAAGTGCTGCCAACACCTTCCATTTCCATTAACTGTTCTCTTGCAGGGAGTACCTTTGCAGGTGGGTGCTCCACAAATGGATCGACTACTACTGTTGCTGCAGTTATTCTGATTACTAGAATTAAATCTTGAATTTGCATCGAAAACCGAATCTTCATCAGAATATGAATCAAAAACCGCATATGGCACTGCCTGATATCTTGTTGTCTCGGAATCGGAGCTGTAGACTCTCCTCCCTTTGTGTAAATCACACCTCTTTCTCCCAGAAACTGTATGCCTTGAACAAAGAGAGTCATCAATCATGGCAAACCCACAAATAGGATCGCAATGCTCAATTCCGGGATAATCCCCTTTATGCGGTTCTGTTGTCTCACTTGTACTTGACCTTGTGGAGGACCATTTAGTTTTCTTGCCCTTGTGTTCAGCACATCGTTTTCTTCCTTTAGCCGATGGCCTTCTACAAATGGAACCATCTTCTAAAACTACCCCACAAGTGATGGTGTCATTCTTATCTGATCCACCATGATCCGACACTAACCGAGGCTGGGATCTACTGAACTTAAAAACTTGCTGCAGAAATTGGCGGCTCTCTCCATCAGTATGCTTGCTGAATTCATTGTCATCCGAAAGTAGCTTGCTTGATTTGATTTTGATGCCTACTTGCTTCTGGAGGAAGGGCAGATGCTTTCTTGAGAAATTGGCTAGCTTGGTAAGATTGGATGCATGTCTATCTAGTTTCCGAAGGATATCATTGTGACGGCGCACACCATTAGAACCTTTATTCCATGCATAATCGAAGGTATTGAGAAGCTGAGCTTCGGTTCTCCGAGCATCAGCCTTGTTTTCCATCTATTTAACAGGAGAAAGGGAAAAGAACATCAAACATCAGATTCGAAAGCAAAATTTGAATGCAAACATTCTTCTATGAGTAATGGGAAGAGACTATTGAGTACAGACAATCAGTTGAGCATAATTTACATGTTTATGTGTAAGAGGATCAGCATGTAATAAGAACATTAATTGATGAATGCATTTTCAAAGCTTTTTGTCCTTCAAAAACCATATCATTCAGTTAAAGTCCAGAACTAAACCTTTTCAGTGGGTTCTATTCAAGACTTTTCCATGACCATCTGGAATTAATTCAAGGCTAAGAGCTAACTAACAGTATTAAGAATTTATGTACATAGATGTTCATCACTTGCAAAAATGACCTTAACAAGTACATAGAGCTTAGGCTTGTAGGTGAGACTGCATTCTGATCCAAACCAAACTGCCCTTGAAAATTCACATTGGATCAGTATAAATCAAAATAGTTGGTGCTTTCAGGTAAGTTGTGAGTTGTGACAGAGGGGGAAGCTGACATTTTTCCTTTAGTTACTATCATTTTCTCCCTCCTAAGCATTAATATTCACAGTATTAATTACTTCGATATTGCAACTCTCCAATAAAAGAGTATTGCAGCATAACCAGCAAACATTAGAAAAACTTCCAAAAAAAAAAAGAATAAGAAAAGGATTATTAACAAATCAAAGGAATACAAACTAGAAGATGACTAAAACATCACCAGAATTCATTCACCATGTATGAACTATGACCCTATAATTGTTTTTTACTACTAAAAACTATGACAATTTTACTTCAAATTCAAAATTTCTGAATCAGTTTCCATTCAACACTCATATGACATCAATCAAGTTAAGGTTAGCTAAAAAGGAAACATAAAACTGAAAAGAAAGAAATTTTACTCACGGGAGCCCATCTGTAACCAATGGAGTAGCCTCTTGCAAAAATGTCCTCAAAGCATCCGCATACTTGATCAGCAGAGCCATTTCTACCAAGATGAGCACCTGTGCGGCCATATTGTTGGAGTCTTGTCCTAACATTGTCAGCTTCCCCGAGATAGACCACCAAGACCTTGTCTGGGTCAAGCTTGCCATGATGGTCCCTGGTGGAGGAATTTGTACGGTATATGGCGAGTTCATAAAGTCCTGAGCTTGAACTTTTAGGAAGATTTTCAACCCTGTATCTGGTCACTCCTTCTTTCCCCATTGAATGGTCTTCCCAGTCATGAGGACCTATAAGAATCTAAACAAACACAAAAGACCCAGAAAGAGAATAAGGTTTATAAATCAGATTTAAAGTGGTTATGGATGATTTTTTAACAAAATTACATGAATAAATCGCATGATAATTAGATGGAAGTGAGGGGAGATGATGGAGTTAGAATTGTGAACCTTCCATTTGGAGAAGTGGGAGTCGTGCTTGGTCTGCTTGTGATCTTCTCGGTTGTATCTGGTGACCGCATCGGCGAATCTAGCCGATCCCATTGGCACCGGATCTGTTTCGAGGAAGAGGACCGTTGTCTTTGCTTGCGCCACTTTATTACGGGTGACTTCCTCATTATAATATCGCCAGATTGCCTTCCTTTTTAGGAACTTTATTACTAAAATATTCAAGGATAAAGTACATAAATAGTACACAACTAATGAGTATTATTTTATTAGGTCTTATAATTATTAAAAGTTACAGAAAAATTAGCGGTCATTCGAATTAAACATTAACATATTGATTGAAATATGATAAAATGTGATCTTACAACCGTTTGAATTGTATTTTATAGATATAATCTCTATTTATAGTACGCCATCGAGTCAATACTTAAAATATTATGTCATCGAGTCAATACTTGAAAATGACAATAGTGTCAATAAACATCATTAAAATATGATTTGTTCATACCCAATCAACATGTTAACATTCAACTTAAACAATGAAAGGATGAGTTTAGACTATATAAATAATTAAGGGATTATTTTGTAACTTTTAATTATTAAAGGATTCAATAAAATAACGTCTTATAATCAAATGATCATTTTATAAATTTTAATAGTCGGAAGATTAATAAAAGGTTGTTTTTAATGATTTTTTAAAATACAAACACAATAATAATATGATTTATCTAACTTCATTGGCTTCAATTAGGCATGTAAACGAACCGAAAACACACGAACGGAGGTATGTTCATGTTCGTTCATTTAATAAATAAACGAACACGAACATAAAGGAACACATTTTTTTTGTTCATGTTCGTTTAAGGAATATAACTTGTTTATGTTCGTTCATTTAATAAATAAACGAACATAAACGAACACGAACATAAACGAACACGAACATAAATAAAAACGAACATAAACGTTGGAGACCCTACCTTCCATTGTTCTTTCATGAAAAATAGTCGACAATGCAAATCAACCAAATCTACAGTGATAAATAGCGTAAGAGTTGTTTAGCAGTGATGAAATGTTTGAAGATATCAAATATTTCAATTGATATTTTAAAGATATTAAATGATTCACACGACTTTAATTTAACGCTATAACATTTATCTTAGTGGTCTATGATTACATATGAACAATCATTTTCCACTACGTTATTCTAATAAATTCATCGGCTAAAAGTTTTGTGACATCAATGTCAGACTTTAGTGAGGTTTGTTAATAATGGTCATTTCCGTTGGCAGAGTAGAAAATTTAACAGCATGAAGATTTCGAACGGTACAAATTGGACTACAAGGCAATAACATAGATCCGAAATCCCTTCGATGCTACATATCGTAACTGATATTATTGCTAAACCACCATTCAAAATTTTATCGTACCTAAAGTCTACTCCACAACTAAAGGTCACAAAAGAGCTATGAAAACAAAAGTTCATTGTCAAAGTGCATTTTCTATTTATTTATGGGTTCTTCCTGGAAAACCCATTACTTCCGCTATTACACTATTTTTCAGAAGTTGCATAGAAACATTTGTTTTGTTTTCTGGCAAATTCTATATATTTTTCTCTTACTGATGCTCATATACTTCTGATTGTTACCTTTATCTTCCTATCTATTTCTAGAAAGAAGTATGATGTTTTCTTGAGTTTTAGATGTGAAGATACCCGCAATAACTTTACATATCAACTATTAAGCCAAATAAAACAGAGAAAGAGATGAAAACAGACATGTAAAACTTCAGATTGCACTATAATATAACTTGTTTTGAAGCTTTCAGTGATCGTCTCCACTCTCTAGTGAACACTAGGGTTTGGGGGGAAAAAGGGGAAAAATGAATATACGTGCGAGGTTCCTCACGGGTTAATGTTGAGTTAATCGATTGACGGAATCAGCCAAGAGGGGGTGAATTGGCAATAAAAATTTTGGTGGAAGCTTTTGCAGAAAATTGAAAGAAATTGCACAACGATTTAGAGTGGTTCGACTTTCTCAATCAAAGTCTACGTCCACTACCTTAGCTATCCACACTAAGGATTTTCCACAAATTCACTAATTTGTCTTTCTTTTGAGGACAAAGAGTAACCTTACAAACCCTCAAGAATTATACCCCAAATTCTTGAGAACACTCTCTCCCAAAGAGAACAATACAAATTTGCAAACTTACAAGGAAATTCTCACAAGGTAGATTGTTTGCACAATTCTAGAACAAAGAAAAGAACACTCAAGAATGAATACAATTGAGCACAATAAGTGTTCTTGAAAGTAAAATGAATATTGAATGAAAAATAGGCTTGAAATGCTCAAACTTGAGGTTTGATGCTTTCTCTTTGATTCTCTCTTGATTATAGTTGCTTGATGTTTCTTGTTGTTGATCAATGGCTTCTAAGCTTGCTTAAATACACCTTGAATTACTTCTAAATGTTGGGGATCATTAATGAAGATAATGTAGTCGTTTTAGTGTGAAGTCAATTAATAAAACAGCTTGGAGCGTGGGGGGAATCGGTACCCCATAAGGGGAATCGGTTCCCTAAGTGTAAAATTCAAATATTTCAACCGTTGAACAGTGGGGGGAATCGGTTCCCTCCGAGCATACTGGAATTCTCGGAGCCAAACCATTCAGGGGGAATCGGTTCCCTTTGAGCAATCTGGAATTTTTGGCTTTGAAATGGTTTGAAATATTTTGTAAAATCGTTTTGAAATTATTTTAAGATTAAAACTTAATTTTACACTTGAGTAAGGATTAAAAATGACATTTAAAAGATTTGGAGTAATATTTTGATATTCGAATAATTATATCGAATATACTTAGAAAATCTTTTTGGAAAATCTTAAAATTCATTTAACTTAATTTGTTATATCGAAATATCAAAATGTTTTCAACAATCTCCCCCTTTTTGATATAACAAAACATTTTAGTAATTTTAAGATTTTGAAATAAAAAACAACGTTTTTGAAAAATTACTCCCCCTTACTTTAACACTTCTCCCATTTAAAACATTTAACACTTCTCCCCCTTTTTGTTAAATCAAAAAGACTCGTAAAAGATTTTAAACAAGGTTTTTGAAATCATTTAGCCAATTGATTATATATAGTTTAAGCTGCTAAGATCACAATCAAGAGAAATGTTAGCCATTAGTTTCATAATCAATATTCATAAACAATGTGACATGGCAAAATTGGTCATATATCTAACATGATGTAAATGATGCAATAAATTTAACTAAACCAAATATATAAATTCAAACATCCAAACAAATCCAAAGTCTAACAATCCTCAAAATCAAATATTCCAAAATATTCAAAATGTTGAAACAATAATCTTTTAGTTCAAAGTTCTAAAGCTAAACACAGAATCAAACATCCGGATCGGGAGGAGGAAAACGAGCTCTCATAGCGGCCATCTCATGTGAGAGTGCATTAATACGTCCATTCATCGAAGCGTTGTTTGTGCACATCTCTCGGAGAATTTCTAATTGTTGAGCTCCCATTGTGGATAAATGGGACTCTATAGAAGTAAAGCGCGAATCCATGGTAGCATATCGAAAATCGAATGTCTCCATAAAAGATTGAAAATATGGAGACATTTGATGCGTTTGTTGTGCTTGCTCCTCGGGCTGCTCAGGCTCATCTTTGGCTTCATCGATGTCTCGCATTAATTGTTCAAGCTCGGGATCATCGTCACCTTCTGGTGGAGCTCGTGAAGAACTAGCTCCTGGAGTATTTTCAGATGATCGAACCCATTCACTGATTTCCTTATCCTTTATCCATCCCGCTCTCGTTAAGGAAAAAAGATAAATTTGTTTCTTTAGAGGAAAAGAGGCATCTAGACCAACTCTAAGCCCGGCTTTAGTAAAAAGATTACTCAAAATGCAACCGTAAACTAGAGATGAAAAGAGTTTCTTGTTAGGAACAAGATTTACGGTTTCAACAATTTCAGCAAAAATGATCAGAGGTAGGTTTATTTTAATACTATTTTCGAAACAATGTAACCATCAAAGATCCAAGGCTATAAGAGTAGAATAACGACCTCCGGATGGTCGAAACCACCAAGAAATCATTAGATGAAGAAAACGTTCATGAAGGTCTAAGATACTCGCACTATCCCTTATTTTATAACGAGAACCTAAAATTTGTTTTTCATTTGAAATACCATCGTTATCTAATCCTAATGCCTTGGCTATGTAAGCCGAGTTAATATATAAGAATTGTCCTATGAGGTAGGAACGAACTTCTATGGTCTCAGTTTGAGCTCGATTTTTGACACAAACAACATTAGAATAAAAGATGCGAACAAGTTGATGGTAAACTATAGGTTCAAGGTCACAAAGTTTATCTAATTTCCACTCTTGTAAAAGATGAAGATATTTAAAATTAATATCTAACATAGCTTGACGAGAAGGGATACGTTCTTCTCTAATTTTGTAAGAGTTGAAATATTGATAATACCAAAAACGATGATTTCTAGGACCAGGATGATTGAAGCATGAATTTTGGATAGTTAGATTGGGATCAACTGGATTAGGATTAGGAATTGGAATTTCAGGAATAAGAGGAGGATTTGGAGGTGGATTTGGTTGACGGTGTGAGCGACTAGATGATGACCTAGCACGTTTAGGATTGGACATGGTTTAGGAAATCAGAATAGAATGGATAACCTACAATTTAGAAAACACATGTATGCAATTCAATCAATCCCAAAACTCAATTGAGTCCTCAATATTTCAAGGTTCTCTAAATCAATCCTAATGGGCAAAGTTTTTGAAAATTATTGAAAAATAAGATTTTGAAAAACAATATATGTATAGTTTTCATAACAACATAATTCAATTAAAACACAATAATTTGAAAAACATTTTTTTATTTCGAAAATTTCTAAATTTTTGAAAATTCTTGTGTTTTTGATGAAATTAGTTGTAATATCTAGTTTCTAATCACTAAACAATCAATGCCCGATCACTATTACTATCTAGAACTAGTTAAAACTAGTCCTATGTTCAAAATCAATGAAATAGAGAGTTTAGAAAAATTTACCTTGAAAGATGAGATTGAGTGATTTTGATGTTGTTTGCACGATTTTAATGATTCTAGCAGGTTTAGAAGATGATATTTGAAGTGAATTCCGATTAAAAACGTTGTTTTGAGGCAAGAATGGAGATTTGAGAG